CTTACGCGGTGGTCCTCCATACGTGATTTCTTCCTAGGATAAAGTGATCCTCCATACAGACATTACTTTTCCACATGTCACAATCTTTTATTCTACCTACCTTTTATCCTTCACTGCGGATGACTTGGAAAGGTCATTCCACTCCTTGGATGTCAGGAGGGCCTTGGCTTTCTATCTAGACAGGACAAAAAACTTTATACATGCTACCAGGATTTTTGTCTGCTACCAAGGCCAAAAACTTGAACATCCTGTCTCCTCTCAACAGTTCTCTAAATGGATCTCTCAAGCCATTGTTCTGACCTATGAACCAGCAAACAAATCCCTTTGCAGGCAAATACATCTGAGTCAACATAGATGAGTGAACAGGATAAGTTCACTCTTCATTCAGCCTCCTTGATGTTTGACTGTGGGAGAAAATGAAGCATTTTTTCTGTTAATGGCTTGAAAATAAAGCAGAGGTAACTGGTATACCCACTGGTGGCAAAAGTACAAATGGGAGACCAAGTCTCAAAATGTATAAAAATGTTGGCAATGCGGATTTTATTCTTATCAGGCTCGACATGTTTTGGTAGTGGCCTTCTTCAGGAGCTAAGCATAAAATAAAAATATGTATTAATTAGGAACAGGTTGCTTAGGGCAATTACAGCTCTTTTTTCTTATTTATACAGTTAAAAATATAAAATATTAATAAATATGCACATAAGAAGACCCATAAACTCCTAGTACAGCTTAATAACAGCATATAAGATACACACCAAGCTTTTAGAACTTTCTCTTCTCATTTGGTCTATATCAGCTCCAACGTTAATCCAAAGTGCAATACAGAAGGGATGGTATCTACCGGTACTTATTCTCAGCTGGCAAGAAATCTATTTCTTGATTTATTCCAAAAGTAGCTAGAGTGTTCAGCCTCAATATCCAGTCATTTCCCCTCCTCAGTAATGACCTCTCATACTTAATAGGAACCATATCCACAACCTAGAATATTACATCTCTTATTGTGTGGTTGTATTCTATGAAATGGATGACAAGAGGAATACCCAGTCTTCTATTTCTTTAATTATTCTGATGTTCTGTCCTTGTCTTAAGAGGTCTAGAGGTCCTCCCTCTATATGTTGTAAGAACAACTTACGGCATAGATCACTTAGTATTATAGTTGGTAAATTTCTTCAGGATGTATACCTTGCCATTCTATGGATCTTTAAATGTACTGCATGTATTTCTGCAATAGGTACAATGTCCACAGGAATTGTGTCCTGTGGGAGGGGGAAGAACGAGGTAAAATTCTCAGGATTTGTGATGGCACTCTATCTTTAAATTCACTCTTTACTAAAATATCTCCTAGGTTTCTTGTTCTTTTAAATGATACCTGTACTCCCTCCTGAAACCCTTCTGTATTTTCTAATGTTTGCCAATGCCTCTTTGTGCATTTCTGTACTTTGTTAGTGATATGATCATATGTTAGAACACAGTTAACATGATTTGTAGGTTCTTTTGTTGTTTAGAAGACCACTGCATCTGGCATTACTGGCCTCAGCAAAACAATTATCTATGACCTCATGTGGTAACCTCTGTCCCTTAATTGATTTCTCAGTATTAAAGATTCCTGCTCAAAGTCCTTCCTCTTGGTGCAGTTCTTTTTCATCCTTAAAAATTGACCATGTGGGAGAATTTGACATAGAGATTGAGGTCGGGTGCTATCAAACCTCTACACCTTTTTGAAATAATAAGAAAAAAATCTGCATTGGCAACATCTTGAGACTCAGTCTCCCATTTGTACTTTTGCCAATGGCTTGAAAATGCAACATCTTGTTAAAAGAGAAATTAATCTTTTTTGCTTGTTTATCACCCCTCCCTGTTCCTGAGTTGGCTGTGATGGAAGGCCATCCCCTTTCTCCACAGAAAGCTCACAAACACAGCATGCTGGAAAGTGAGCAATGAGTAGAGCTGGAAGGCATTTTTAACTAACCACCTAATTTCTAAACTGTATTTTTCCCCAAGTTCAGGAACTTTTCTGGGTATAAAACATAGGAGTTTCCAGGTGGAGCTAGGAAATAATTATGTTTGAAATCCTGGAGAGTTGCTGCATGTCAGAGTTGGTAATACTGGGCTAGATGGACCAATGGTTTGTCTTGATATAAAACAATTTATTGTGCTCCTGTGTAATTGTAATAGTTTGGGAAGATACTTCATGTCTGTCTTTAAAAACTATTTTGGTTTTGATCATCTCTGCATTGGGGAAATGAGTATTAAAATAGCAAATTGGGTTCAGTGGAAGCATGTGTATAGTTATGTGCACTGGGGTGAAACATTGTAATTCAGAGTACGCACCAATGGGATCTTAGCTGGCGATGACTGACAGTATACTGGGGATCTTTAGAAAATAAATTGAAAATAGTAATGAGTGCTTCCTCCATTTTCTAAAAACAAAAAAGCCTGAAGCAGGACCTACACAGTTCTCAATTATGCAGCAACAGCAGCTGCAGCAACAGCAACAACAACACTGACAGAACCGACAGAAAGAGAATATACCAAAATACTGTGGAAAATCTTAAAATTAAAATTAAATGGGGAAAATGCAATCAGAGCCATAAACACATGGGCTGTTCCATTAATTAAATACTCAGCTGGAATAATAGATTGGACTCAAAATGAACTAGATTTGGATCTAAAAACATGGAAACTGATGAACATGAATCACACACTACATCCAAAAAGCTACGCGGACAGATTATATTTACCACGAAAAATTTGAGGCCGTGGATTACAGTGGTGCCTCACTTAACGATTTTAATTGGTTCCAAAAAATTCATCGCTATTGGAAAACATTGCTAAGCGAAACGCGTTTTCCCATAGAGATGCATTGAAAACCGGATAATCCGTTCCAATGGGAACGGATTGCCATCCTTAAGCCAAAATCGCCATAGGAAACATCACTAAGTGAAACGCGGTTCTCCCATTGGAATGCATTGAGACCTTTTCAATACATTTCAATGGGGGAGAAAAAAAATCACCAAAAATTCAAAAAGAGTCAGAACGAAGCCAAATTTGGTTAACAAAGGGTTTATTAAGTGAACTAACGATTTCAACCACTCTAAACCCTGTTTAAACAATTTAACACCTTTTAAAAATAGCGAAAACGGAGCTGTCAAAAACATCGCTAAGCGAAACGGGACCTAAACTGTCATCGTTAAGCGAAGCAAGGTCCCGAACATTGCTATGTGAAATTCCCCCATTGGAAACATCGCTAAACAGAGCGTAAGATCACTCCAAAAACCTCATCGCTAAGCGAATACATCCTTAAATGAGGCAATCGCTAAGCGAAGCACCACTGTACTGCAAATACAGGAAGTCGTAGAGGAAGAAGAAAGATGCCTAAATGATTATATCAGTAGAAGCAGAGAAAAATTACTGAAAGCAGTGAAAATGGAGAATATTTTGAAAACAATAGAAACAAAGGCTCTATATAAGAAACAGCAATATGAAAAGAAATTAAGCAGCTGGAAAAAAATAATGCACTACATGGACAGCACCTGAGAAATATTGATGGAAAGTATGATCATAATTCAACATGGGCATGGCTAAAACTGGGGACCCTTAAGAAAGAAACCGAAGGCTTGATTTTTGCTGCACAAGAACAAGTACTCTAAATTAATATGATGAAAGCTAAGATCCAAGGAGTTAGTGCGAACATTAAATGTTGACTCTGCCAAGAAAAGATGAAACTGTCACACCTTATCTGTGAATGTCCAAAGATTGCACAAACAGATTACAGAGTTAGACATGATAGAGTGGCAAAGTTAGTGCAATGGTCATTAGTGCAAAAATATAACTTGCCTACCTCCAAAAACCCATGGGAACAAAGAAATGTCTGGATCATTGACATTGCAATTCCATGGGATGTCAGAGTTAAAATAAAGAATTGAAAAAACTAACAAAGTACAGAGACCTAGAGTAGGTTAGCTGAGCAGACTCGGAGTAATTGAATTTGAATAGTACTGGGCACTCCGCTGATTGGCTTCTTTTCCTGTCAGTCATCATGGTGAAAGCAAATAATGACAGATAAACTTTAATTTTTGGCCTATTTCCATAAGATACCTTTATAAGGTATTGAGTAATGGAGTTTAGAACAGACTAATGGAATGACCGTGGAAATAGGTTTAAAATGTTTTATATGTACCACTGGAATTTGCAAGAGATCTTAACTGGAGCTTGTTACTTTCATTACTCTTATCTGAAGCACAAATTCTGAGAATAATGGGTATAGTCCCATCCAGGTATTAGCTTCTATTAAAGTTTCACCTCACCTGTGTGTACATTGTGATCTTACTTTGCTTTGCTGCATTATTTTCTCCACAGTGTTTTCCTCAAACCATATCTAAACCTCATAGGAAATGTTGCAATCTTTTCTTTATGGGAGAGGTGAGCCTGGGAAGTAATGTCTTTAGCCTACAGATTCAAATAATAGCTGGCTGCAGTGTTGTACAAGCTGTCCGTAAGGAAGCAGTACAGCTTGTCAATGCTTGAGTTAGGGAAACAGCCATCTGTAGCTCTTCCCCACGTATGGTTGTACGTACATTGAGCTAAGTAGCAAACAAGAAGAGACATACTGAGTTTTCCTTGAAAGTAAGGGAGAGGTAAATACCTACTTGGATTGTAAGAGTAAGCAATGTGCTTATATAACTGTGGAAACCAGGAAGTCTGTAAATGTTTGGTTATTAGCTGAGTATACATTATTTTAAAACTAAAGAGTATTGTAAAATTACAATTATCATTTATTAGTTCAATCTTATGTGATGCATAATAGAATATTTGTCTAGAGAAGAATGTTTCTTAAGCTATTTCCACTGAGATTTAAAATATATAAGGGCATTGCAATCTCAGAGTTCTGATCCAGGTTGCAATGAGATGCGTTCTACATTTATATTCTGTGATACAGATTAATTGCTTTCAATGTTATTGCTTTATCTAAATCTGAAGCTTTTCTTTTTCCTCTTCAGTTTCTCACAGTCAGATTACACGGCTATACAGTCGGTTTACCAGCCTGGACAAAGGGGAAAATGGCACTCTTAGGTAAGTATTCTCAATACAGCTTTTGTGTTGATTTCCATTCTCCTAAACTGTCTCTACCCAAATTTGTTATAACCCTTGTCTTACTTCAGGACATAACCCAGGCCCTTCTTGAGAGTCCTTTGCTCAGATCTTCAGAAACAATTTTTGTGTACATGGGGCTAGAAAGGGAGAAGGAGCTAAGGAATTCCTTTTGTGCAAGTACTATAGATTTGAATTTAAAACAGATTCAGACTTTGTTACCAAGAAATGTCCTAAATAAATAGTTAATGTGGATGATTAACTAATGTGCACAGTTAACTACACAGTGAACTACAATGTTCAACTTCATTCAGTAGTATTTATTTAAAGCACCTTTATCCTTTCAGAAAACATTCACAAAAAGTTTTCAAGGTTGTGTCTTTTTTTAACTGCTTGAGTGATGTGGTGGAAACTGAAAGCATAGGAACATTGGTATGCTGGAGTATTTTCCCATCCTCCATTTGCCTTCTTCAGCACTCCCTTGAACACTACTTCACCCCAGTACATCCGTATCTCTGTCCTCAAACCAGCACTCCAAATCAGCTTCTAGATAAAAACACTTCAGAGCTTTGCTACATATATGGCATGTAAAAACAATTATTCCTGTGTCACATGAAACAGATGTTCTGTGGCATAACACTCTGTGGACTATAGCCTTCAGTATTTCATGTCTTAAAGGCTGTTCCATGGCTTTCATTCCTTATATTAGCTACAAAATACAGTATTGTTATTGCTTGGAATTTTTCATATATGTTGTTAGTTTTGTTATTTACATTCTGGATTAAAAAAGCCTGAACAAAAGAGTTAATAAATTATTGTTAAGTATGGAACTGCAGAATCACTGGCATGAGGGCAAACGTTTGGATTAGTAAGAAACAAAAGTACACATTCTTTGCTTGGCTATTGACAAACTACTGTTTCTCAGCCTCCACTGTTCAAGAGTAACGGGGAGGTTAAAAAAGAGATTACATGCCATGCATTCCTGTATTCTTTGGCTCACAAAGAAGATTTGAAATTTAGTTGGGGAGTAGATGCCTTGCTGTGTCTAATCAGTGTTTAGGTGGGGTAGGATATCAGTGTCAAATCACTTAGTGATTTTTATAAAACTGGTTTACAACTATTTACAAATTTTTCCATTAACATACTAAATTTACGCTTTAATACTATGGAATTTGTGGCTGTTGTTAGAGTTAACTATTTTCTCACTCAACTTGAGAGATGATTATGCTCTTGTGAGGAACTGGAAGTTATCATTACCCAAGGTGTGAGTAATGAAAGAACAAAAAGTGTGGAAAACCTGATTTTTCATTAAAAAAACCCCCTTGATTTGTGTTTTTTAATGTTACTGAACTAAACTGACATCCTTTAAAGCAGCGGTTCCCAACCTTTTTGGAACTGCAGACCAGGTGGGGGTGGTGGGCTCCGTGCACGGGGGGCACCCCCGCGCTTGTGGGTAGGACACGGACCCCTGTGCATGCGGGGGCGGAGATCCGTCTCCGTGGCCCAGTCCTGGGAAGCCCACAGACCGGCACCCAGAGGTTGGGGATCCCTGCTTTAAAGCATATCATTAAATCATTGGACTGTTCCAAAGAGGAAGATGAGTATTTTTTTTCAGTCTGCATTTTTAAGCAAGCCAGCCTAGTTCACTGATCACAGATTACTAGGCAGATCAGAAGACATTCTTTGGATTGCAAAAATTGAAGAAACTGGTAACCCCAACTCAGAAAAAGATACAAAAATAACCTTTTTATGTATAGTAGACCTGGATTCAAACCCCTGCTTATTCTAGGAAACTCACAACGAGGTGGCAGGCCTTAAATATCTTACTTACCTTGAAAGCTCTTATTAGAGTTGGTATTGTGGGTTTTGACTTGATGGCACATAACATTTCAAAAATGCATCTTTTTGAGCAGCCTTTCTCAATCTTTTTTCAGCCATGTCCCTTTTAGGAGCTCTTCTCAGGTTTCAGGGCCCTCTACCCTGTCAAACAAGAATGCAATACAAATAGATGTTTCAGAAGCTTCACTCATTTTTGTTAAAGAGGTATTTGCTTGTAAGAAAATGCAACAAAACACAGTGTAAACAATGAGAACTAAGTCTGAGTGGTTGGCATAAAACCTAGTAACCTAAGCAAATGTTCTGCTTTTCTGTTTCTTTATTGAGCAACATGGATAACACACAGATGTGAGTAGTGTTGCCATTTCTCATGTCTTAGAAGTTTCCGATTAAATCTTTAACATCGTGTGTTCTAGCAGAACAGACTATTACAACAGATTCTCCTTTCCGTTCTAGCTATTCCCACCACAAGTCAGTACTGAATAGTTGGCATGAGGTTGGGCAGGCTGGGAGAGTAAGGAGGAAGGGAGGGAATGGAAAACCTCATAATGTGGATAGAAATAAGCTGGCTAGATAGCTCATCTTAAAGGTATGTGGTTGAAGAGCCAGAGACTAGGAGCTCAATTCCCTACTGTGCATTCCAGAAGAGCCAGCCTGTGTGGCCTTTGGCAAGTTGCGCAGTCCCAGGGCACCCTCAGAAGGCAACAGTGGTAAATCACCATTCAATATCCTGTACCTGGGAAAACTCAGAAAATAATCACTATAATTTGAAATTGACTTGTTAGCATGCAGATATTATTAACTAGCCTGCAAAGACAGGTTTTCCTTATCATTTGAGTTGTTGAGTGCAAGATGTATTGCTCTCTGTCACTCAGAAGAAGTGAATTTAAAATATGCATGTATGCTTCAGAAAGACATTATCTTGTGCGTAGAGCCTGCTGGATAATATTGCTATAGCATGTGAACAAGAGAGAAGAAAATATTTTCCTGTGAATTCCAGCTTAAGCCAGGTGAGGTAGGTTCAGCTAAATGAGAGTTGATTACATATAGAAGTACAGATTGATTTTTTGGTGATCATTTACTTTTATGACTTGGGTGCAGATTTTCCAGTTACCATTCTTGGTGGGTAATGTCCCCTTTACGAGCAAAATTGCATGTTTAAATGCTGGTAAGAATGGCAGAAAAAGATTTACAAGGCATAGTTACATGTAGTTAATGTTTAACTTTAAGCTTGGCCACAAAACAGAATTAGAAGCTGATAGCCTGCATTCTAAGTTTCAGAAACTGAATGCTTACCAAGAGGGACAGGGTGTTAGTGGAATTCTTGAATTTTGAGGTTTTGGTGTCTATGTCATGTGGAATGTTTTACTTTTCATAGACCATCCTCATTGGTTGGAAATAGAGATGGGGGTATTCGTATTTGAATATGAATACCTCTGCACAGGTGGATATAACCCGTCCACTCACTCATCCGCTGCTATTGCGGGCTCCGCACTCCTTCCAATCACTCCAGAGCTTGCGGTCAACTAGCCACTCCTGGCAGAAGGAAGGAAGACAAGCCTCCCTGCCAGGCTGGCGACTGGTTAGTCAACTGTGACCTCCGGAGCAATTGGAGGGAGTGCGGAGCCAGCAGTAGCAGTGGACAGGTGAGTGAATGGTCCAGCCCCAGGGGGCCAGACCCTAGTTATGTCCACCTGTGTGGAGGTATTTGTATTTGAATATGAATACCCCCATCTCTAGTTGGAAGCATAGGTCTAAGAAGAGTCAGGCTACTTAGGGTGTAATCATGCTTTCATTCTTAATTCTTTTCACTGTTAACTTTCCAGAAATTAATGTTGTTCCCCTGGTGGAGAAATGGCAGATTAAAGTTATTTCTATATTCAAAGACTTAAATACAATACAGTACAATGATCTAAACAGGAAGTAATGTGGTATAATTCATTTCTGTTTGCTGACTCCTAACAGAACAAAGCAGAGGAATAAAACTGAGACAGACCCCAGAAAGCAAGACACCAGAGCAAGCAAATAAAGAGAGCAAGCAGGAGATTGGCAGGGGAAGCCCCTAACAATTTTTTTGGTTTCTGGGTATAGTTATTAGAGGACTTTCCTAGCACCTTTCAAGGCAGACATGACAAAGGGCATTCAAGGACAAACAGAAGAAAGTTAAAAGGTAGCAGGGATTATGAGGAGACGAGACACTTCAATGATGGTGACCTTCAAAGTATGTGCAATGTTTTTCTTCGTGCCTCAGAACATGGTGTACATATGTAACAAGTGCAAACTGGTAGCACTGTTAGAAGAACAAGTGAAAGAACTAGTACATAGATTGAATTCTTAAGCAGCAGCAGCAGCAAAGGAAGGCACTGGAGGTGGAAGAACAGCAGGACAAAGCAGAGGAGGAGAATGCTGAGGATAGAATAAACATAGTAGAGGAAACACCATAGAGAAGAGTCATACTTAGGAGCAAAAGAAGGAGAAGACACTCTCCATTAGTACAACGGCAAAACTGCTTTCAGATTCTTGCAGAGGAGTCTGGCAGACAGCATGCAGAGGAAGACATACAGGAGACCCCACAGGAGAACATGAAAGAGAGTGAAACTCAGCGAAGCAGAATTACTGAACCCACAACCCATAAAAAGAATCGTAGTTGTAGTAGGAGATTCCCTGCTGCATGGGATTGAAACTGAAATATGCTGGGAAGATCCATTGACTTGCTAGGTGTGCTGTCTCCCTTAAAAATGGTTTAGGAATATGACAGAAGGATTGCCATTCCTCATAAAACCCATGAGTGCATATCCCTTTCTTCTCATCCATGTGGGAATAAATGATACAGCCAAGACGAACTATGAAGAAATCACATCAGACTTTGAAGCTCTGGAAAGGAAACTCAAAGACTTTGGGGCCCAGATAGTTTTCCTATCCATCCTTCCAGCAATTGGAAGAGGAATAGAAAGGGAAAGGAAAATACTTTGTGAACAACTCGCTATGAAGATGGTACTGATATGAAGGATTTGGATTTTAGGACTACGGGCTATGCTTCCTGGAAGATGGACTTCTGAAAAGTGATAGGTTGTATCCTGCAGGGACTTGGAAGAATGGTTTGGCCACAGCATGAAGAACCTCATCAAGAAAGCTTTATACTGAAT